GGTTCTTACCCATGCTGGGTAAGCACTTTACCACTGAGCTACATCCCCAGCACAAGAATAGTATTTTTTTTTAAAGTACTCTTTGTTGATTCTGTATATGAAGACTTCCATGTAAATATGTCTTATTTTTGAGATTAAATATTGTCTTCCATGTAAATACTTCTTATTTTGAGGATTAAATATTATCCCACTTTTTAAAGTTTTACCTTTAAGGAGAATTTTGAAACATTTTAAATGTAGTACCACCCCCCCCCGTTTTTTTTACTTAAATGAAATAAATGTGGCTTTAATCATTCTAAATCTATTTTTCAAAAATATCAGATATTTGGTCAAGAAAGATATCATCTCGTTGGGTTATAAATGTGAGTTTCTATTTTTTTATGAGGACGAGAAAAACAAAAGAGTTTTACTAGGATTAATTCATAGGCTTTTGCAAAATGGGTGGTTAAAGGGAGATAAAGTGCTTTACTTTTAAGCTAAGAATAAATGTAACATGGTGAAGAAATTGTCTTATGTATTCATACTATTGTAGAATAGAAGAAAGAAATGTGTATATTTGGAAAAAAATAACATACTTTTTTAGGAAGCACAATTTTATATAAATTTTAAAAGATGTTTTTGTAATGTAAAGAAATGTAGTATACATATTATATATGTAAATTAAATATCGATTTTTTTTCTCCTAATGCACTTAATTCAACATTTAACTCGTAAACCAGTTTTATTGAGATAAATTATAAAAAAAAGTGAAAGTTGAATTCACTAATAATCATACTAACAGTAATAAAATAAGGTGGTAAACATTCTGTGAGAGTGCTGTGGGCTTAAGCTTTCAAGCTATTCTAGACTTGGGGTCATAACTGCAGAGCAATGGTAATGATACTGTTTCCATAGCAACTGATTCATCTGAGGGCTAGACCTCTGTCTAGGGTGTTGTCAGTATATGTAGAGTTTCAGTGAACAGAAAGTCCCAAAGAAGGGTCTGCTTCTACCTAATCCAGTTTTAATTGAACTCTAGAGACTTTGAAGTGAAGCCATAGACCTGGCCTATACTACTATTCCAATAAGAAATGAACCTCTTGCTTAGACTAGGCCTCAGCTGCTTTTCAGTACTGACACCTTTTCCTAATGAAGTGTTATTTTATCAATTTTAGGTAGTAAATCTTTAGTTCAGATATTCTTCAATTCTCTTTTAAACCCTGTCTTGACCATAATAGTAATATTATATATTTTTTTAAATAGGTCAGTATTATACAAGTTTTAAATGTTTGATACCTTTGGGAGTTCTAAGTAATTCTGTGTTTCTCCTGTTTCTTTTTTTTCTTTGACTTTGAAAATATCACTGTGCCTTCTTATATTTAACTTTGGAAGCACACTGTCATACAGTTGGTATGATACTACTCATTTCATATTTGGAAATATACAGAGAAATGCTGGATACTGTTTATGAATGTGACTGCTAGTTGTATTAATACTTACTTGAGGAATAATGAACCTCAAAATAAAGATACTCATTGGCGGTGACAAAAGAGGAAAATGGGATCCGAAAGGGTTATATATGGGAGGTTCTTTTTGAGTGGGGGGTACTGGGAAACTCAGGGGCACTTGACCACTGAGCCACATCCCCAGCCCTATTTTGTATTTTATTTATAAACAGGGTCTCACTGAGTTGCTTAGCACCTTGCTTTTGCTGAGGCTGGCTTTGAACTCAGGATCCTCCTGACTCAGTCTCCAGAGCCATTGGGATTACAGGTGTGCACTACCGCACCTGGTCAGTGTTGGAGTTTTGACACTCTCTGTTTTACTTTAATTATTTTTTAGAAAATAATGCAATAATATGGCAAAATAATAGGATTTTATAAGATTGAGTAGTGTGTGCATGGAGCATGTCATTTTTTGTAGTTTTAAATATTTTTGACATTTGGTAACAAAACATTTTAAATGACTATGACACTTGTATTTTAAAATCAATCTTTGAATAATAATACAATTTAAAGGAATGGAATAAAAATTGAATTTTTGATTAATCAAAAATGAATTCAGTACATTAAAAATACATTAAAAATCTTTTTTGCGTCTTTTTTATTGATTTAAAAAAATGACAGTGGAATGCATTACAATTTTTATTACATGTATACAACAAAGTTTTTTCATATCTCTGGTTGTATAAAGTATGTTTTAGTAAGGTTAGTTCTGCTAATAAGTGGAAGACCATAGAATATAATTAAAATTTTAGTTGACCAATTATGACTGTGCAGTGGTTGGCATCACTGTTATGAGCAACAGGTCTTATACAACTCTGTACTTTCAAAAGGTAAAATCTTCACACCAGTGTGTAATATTCTTAGCATATCATAGAGTATAAAGGATCCTTCAATGTTTGTTTTCTTTTGATTTTCCTCTTTCATCTTAACCCAAGTGCAGGAAAACAAATGTGTTTATTAAATTTCCAGTGAGTTAGGTTCTAGCTTAACAAATCTATAATACTTTAGAAATGTTACAGTGTTTTTTAATGGAAGCTCTGGGCTTTTGGATTAGAAAACCTTGGGGTAGGCTGGGCTTTGCTACTAAGTTGCCAAGGGTCTTTTCTGTTAAATATTTAACATGGGTGGGTCCCATTTTCCTTATGAATACAGTAACAATTCATTGGTTTATAAGTGTTATTGAACATATATTAGCTTCTTTAAAGTATGATAAATCCAGAGTGGCATACTCATGTGTAGATGGAAACTAGGCAGTTAATAGTAAGTGATTGAATGCTCATTTCACATTAGTAATAAATGATGTAAAAACTATAACAAAACAAAGAAAGTGCTTGCCAGTTGTTATTACCATTTGGTACATCTAGGTTGGCCAGATACTCCAGTTTTTCCCAGGAATCCAGAAATCTGCATATTTATGTAAATAGCCATTTTCTCAGTTATTTTCATGGCTTGAAATTTTGTCAAAATATCATATATGCCAGAGAAAATCAATTGAGGACATATAAAGAACTTAAGTTACTATACTGTAATTCATTTAATTGTTCAAAATAACTACTTTTTACCACATTATTTTTGGTTTTTAAAAAATATTTTTAGTTGTAGATGAACACAATACCTTTATTTTTGTATGTGCTTCTGAGGATTGAACCTAGTGCCTCATACATGCTAGGCAAGTGCTCTGCCACTAAGCTACAGCCCCAGCCCAATGCCGTATGTTTTTCAAGTCAGTGAACGTAGAGTGCATTCACAGTTTTAGCTTAAAGATAATTTTAAAAAATTATTATTATTATTTTGACCATGCTGGGAACTAGGGTTACAAAAGTGCTAAGCAGGTGCTCCACTACTGATCTACATCTCCAGCCTTCAGATTGAACTTACTCTCGTATTAGTGCAGAAGGGGCAAGATAAACAAACAAATGTTATAATTTCAGATAGTGGTAAATGTAATGAAGAAAATTTGATAATTTGGGGGAGGGAGTAGAGTTTAGGTCCTTTGGCTTCTCTGAAGATGTGACACCTGAGTAGATATCTAAGTGTGAGAATGAGTTAACTATGTGGAGATTTGGGAGAAGATCATTGTAGGCAGAGGGTGAAATAAGAAGTTAAAAAAAAATCTTGAGTAATACTAACATTTTTGTCTTCTGTCTGCATGTTCATTTCTCTTGATCTTCCTTACACAGGTACTTGTTGTATAACTGAGTAGTAGAAATTCTCTATTGCCAATTTCAAAATTGAGGGCATGATTAGTTGTTGCGTCCTTTGAAGTTTTCACTTTATTAAAAAAAAAAAAAAAACAGCCCGTACTTTAGAGTTGAACCCATTTTTTAACTCCTCTTGTTCCAATAATAGAATTGTTTCTCTAGAAAAATTGAAATACATACTGAAGTAAGTGTTTTTTTTTTTTCTTTCAAAGAAACTACATTTTATGTCAAAAGAATGTAGATTCATTTGCAGTTAGGATTTGGAAAATGGAAATGAGAAAAGAAAAAGTCAGTTTATGTAGAATAAATGGTGGTTACTTTTAAGTGATATCTGAAATTAATTTACTTTTGTAGATTTTCATGAAATATTGATAGCAAATGTTCATTTTCTGTGTGGAGAAATGTTGAATCTGATTTCTTTTTAACACTTTCATAATTGAGCTTTTGAAATGATCTTTTTGAAAGATAAAACTTGAGTAACAAGGCAACAAAGTGGCTTAGGACTAAAGACAAGATTACTTTGAATTGGCAAAGCATTTTAAGCAATTGTGTCTGTCACATGGAATGACAAGAATTGTAACAAGTCACTCTGACAACTACCTATTCCATAGGGAGATTATGCTGAGTTCATTTGTAGGTTTATACTTAGCTTTAGCTGACAAAATGATACTTAACCTCTTTTACAGTTAGTCTTTATGTTTTCTGAATGAGTTGCCTTAAATATGACCTTAAAATGTGCGATTTTTAAAAAATTATTTATTTTTTAATTGTAGTTGAACACAATATCTTTATTTTATTTATTTATTTTTATGTGGTGCTGAGAATCAAACCCAGGACCTCACACATGCTAGGCGAGCGCTCTACCACTGAGCCCTAGTCCTAACCCCAGCCCCAAAATGTGTGATTATTTTTTAAAGTTATGAAACTTATTTTTGAAAGTATGTAAAAAGTGACTATCTAATTTGTATATAAGTGATTCAGAAGCATGTATGACATTCTTTGGAAGTTTTCTTTCTTTTTAAGGTTTTATTTGAAACTTTCCATGACTAAAAAAATAAATAATATAATATGCACTTCCTGAGAAGCAATAGATTATGTCATTGTTTTTAAAAGCTGAAATATATATTTATAACTATATGCTTTATAGTGTTACTTTGCTTTTACATTTAAGCTTCTTTCATGTAAGTTAAAACACATTTTCTTAGTTGAGTTCTTTGAAATTGTTTTTCTTAATAGTCTATTTTAATTGGGGGTAAGACGAAAAACAAAAAAGCTTCCTATTGTCACTCACTTGGGTTATGTTTTTCCTCACTAGATCCTGGCATATACTGAAGGGCTGCATGGAAAATGGCTGTTCACAGAGATACGATCCATCTTTTCTCGTCGTTATCTTTTGCAAAATACAGCCCTGGAGATCTTTATGGCAAACAGAGGTAATATGTTTCAGAAGTGTGTTGTTACAAAACCAAATTCCATTTCTCAGATTTCATTTTTGTACATATCATATTGTTTCCATTTAGATTGGATTTTGTAGTCTACCTAGTGCTCTACTGACCTCATTTTTTTAATACCACATGGATCTTCCTGGGCTTTCTCCATCCTCTTGATCACTTACAGTATAATTTGAATTTCTTTTCCTTTGCTGGCTGTATCACAGACTGATGCAGGATTGTGTAAATATGGGACATATTTAACCATTTATTCAGTTGCAGAGTTTTGACATCTTCAGCATTACTTAGATGCTTAAACTCCTTCTGGTAGGTGGCTGCATTTGGGAGCAGAAGAAGATAATCAAATGACTCATACATTTATCTTATCTTCTGTCTAATGTATTGCTATTTTTAAAGGAACCATCAGAAAATTACCTTGAATTGTCATGGTTGTTTTGTATTACATCATTCTTGAAAGTTGAGCTAAAATTCTATTTGTGGGTTTACAGTGGAACTTGGTGAAATCCATTAAGACAAGAAGGGGGACAAGTTTAATTTGAAGGAAAAGCATCATTGGGTATTAGTAAAGGTATATAAGGGAAAATATATAAAATCTGGTGATTTATTATACATATACTTGGTATATATGTAGGTTGATGGTTTCTTTTTTGTTTCTGTTTTCTGTAATCTACAAGTTGTTACTTTAAAAATCTACACACAACAGTATACATTCCATACATACATCTTTTCTCTTGAAATCATGTGTCATTAGGGAATCTAAATATCTTTAGGGAAAAATGTTTTTCTCTTTCCTAGGTGGCCTCTTCTCCACAAACACCTCTTTTCCCTAATGTAAACATTATTTGTCTAAGGCAGATAATCAAGGGAATGTTTCACACTTTAGTTCAGTCTGTATTCTTGTTGTCCCAAAGGAGTTGAAGCCTTACAATATTTATTACTTGCTCATCCTCATTCATTTTCTTTCTTAAAATTTCTTATGCACTCTTACTTTTGTGTGAGTGCTTTCTCTTGCCGTTCTCTGCTGGCCTTGGTCATATGCCATAACCTATGATGGATTTTTCTTCATGTTTTACCCCTGGATTCAATACAGTAGTGAATATATAAGGAAAGCTTATTTAAATGGTACATGACATTACTAAATATTTTGTAGGGTGCTTAATGAATGATTGATGAGTAGTTAGTAATGCCAGTATTTAAAAACGCAACATATATTTTCTTTTTGGCCTGAAGTATTCTTTTCAGGACAGATGGAGAAGAAGGACCACTTTCTGTATGAGCACTGTGGTCTGCATAGGGTTCTGATGTAATATTAACATAAAATTAAAATCTCAAGACTGATAACATTAATATCTCCACAGTCTCCTGATTTTATGACTGTTTTCATGTTTAAAGTGGATAAGATACAGAAGGCTCTTGTAAACTTACATCTGGTATATTGAATGTTTATATATTGATAGATGCTTCTTGATATTCTCAAACATGTATTAGAAGGCTCTTAAATTTGATATTAAGCATAGAGGAAAATTTTCCTTTAGGCCCCAAATTGTTCTGAATTATATGAACTTATGAAACATCAACATGTAAACATTGTAAAGAGAATTATTTTTAAGCTGTTCGTTATTGGAAATAAATAAATAAATGATGATTTCATAGCTGTATGTGTAGCTTTTAGTGTTCTATGGTTAACTATGTAAAATTGAATTTTAATAGTTCTTTCTAGTAATTCATAGAAATAAATTTGACTCATCAAAATTCAATTTTGTAAATTAAAAATTGTAGCTAGGTAATCTCATTTTCATATTACACAAATGTAACACCAGTTGTTAGAACTCCTGATAGTATTTAGAGAAAGAACCTTTTTTGGTAAGAAATATCAGAAGTAAAATGAATATCCTTTCTTGAATATTAACTAAAACTTTATATGTAGTATAATAAAAAGGACATTGTGAGAATTGTGTTTAATAGAGGATTGTATTGAATGTAGTGTAACTATTCCATTAGATCAAGAAGTCAGTTTCCCCAAAAGGACATCAAATTGTGTTCTAATTTTTAAAAAATTATTTGTCATAGTTGCTGTAATGTTCAACTTCCCAGACCCTGCAACAGTAAAGAAAGTGGTTAACTATCTACCTCGTGTTGGTATTGGAACCAGTTTTGGATTACCTCAAACCAGGTACTGTTTTATATAAGAAAATGTGGAAAATAATCTTCATTAGTATTCTCATTAACTATTAATACTCTTATTAAAATTAATCTCTATTAATATTCTTACTTATTTTGAAATGAATGTCTGTATTATGTTTCATAGTAATTGATGATTATTAGGTATTAAGTTTTATTTCATATCTGTCAATTCAATTGTAATATATGAATGGTAGAGTGTATAGCACAGAGTCAGCACTCAGCAGATTATCACTAAATATAGAATTCACTAGACTTTCCCAGCACCATAATAAAGGCATATGCAAAATATACTTTTTATCTCTTAGATAGAAAATTTTAATTTTCATATTTTAAAGTTACTATGTTTTTAAATATGTACCATGATATAAATATTGTGTATGTATGTGTGTTTATCTATTCTTTTTTTAAAATTTTTTTATTAGTTAGTTGCTCAAAACATTACAATGATCTTGACATACATACATTTGATTCAAGTGGGGTACGTAATCTTATTTTTCCACGTGTACAGATTGCAGGATCACATTGGTTATACAGCCACGTTTATACATAGGGCCATACTAGTGTCTATTGTATTCTGCTACCCTCCTCTCTCCCCTAAAAAAATATTCTTTTTTTTTTTAACTCAAGTTAGAAAGGTTCAGTTTTGCATTTGCTTTTGCCATTAAAAAATGTATGTATTACATGTTCATTGTAATGGCTGAAATGAAAAAGGGAGAGAATACCAAGTGTTAGATTAGATCCCAGAAGCACAGACAACAAAAACTAAAATAGACAAATAGGATTATATCAAACTCAAAACCTTCTGCTCAATCAAGAAAACAATTAACAGAGTAAATAGACAACCTATAGATGAGGCAGAAAATATTTACGAACTATAAGTCTGGGCAAGGGTAATAGCCAATATGACATTCAAACAACTAAATAGTAACAGAACAAATAATCCAACTGAAAAACAAGCAAAGGATTTGGACGGATGTTTCTCAAAAGAAGATATACAAATGGCCAATGAGTATATGAAAAACCATTGACAATCACTTAATTATCAAGGCCATGCAGATTAAAACCACAGTGAGGTAGCACTTTAAACCTTTAGAATGCCTTCATCAAAAACATGAAAGATAGCAAGAGCTGGAGAAGATGTGGATAAAAGGGAACTTTTGCATTCTGTGTAATTATAGATTTGTACAATCATTATGGAAAAAAGTATGGAGACTTCTCAAAAATGTTAAAAATCAAACTTTCATATGATTCAGCAGTCCTATTATGGGTATGATTCTAACAGAAATGAAAACAGTATATTGAAGATTTATCTGCACTCTCATGTTCATTGTAGCATTATTTTTTTTAAAGAGAGAGAGAGAGAGAGAATTTTAATATTTATTTTTCAGTTTTCGGCAGACACAACATATGTGTCATATTTGTATGTGGTGCTGAGGATCGAACCCGGGCCGCATGCATGCCAGGCGAGTGAGCTACCGCTTGAGCCACATCCCCAGCCCCTCATTGTAGCATTATTAACAATAGCTGAGATACAAATAAATCTAAATGACCATTAATGGCAACCCAAAAAAACACTTTAAATATGAAGACACAATTAGGATAAAGGTAAAATCGGGGAAAAAAAAGTATACCTTGTCACTGCTAAATTAAAACAAAAACAAACAAGAAGGTGGAATTATCATATAATTACTATATTAGTTTACTATGTTTTTCAATGTAAAGTACCACAACTGGTTGCTTAAACACTAGATATGTATCGTCTCACAGTTCTAGAGGTTGCTTAAACAATAGACGTGTTTTATCTCACAGGTCTGGAGGCTCCAAGTCCAAAATCAAGTTGTTAGTAGTGTTGGTTGCTTCTAAGGGATATGAGGGAAGGATCTGCTCCAGGTTCTCTCCTTGGCTTGTAACTAGCTGTCTTCTCCCTATGTCTTTTATATCATCTTCCCTCTGTCTGTCTCTATGGCCAGTTTTCCCTCTTATAAGGACATCAGTCATATTGGATTAGGGCCCACACTAATGAATTCTTTTTACCTTGATTATTTTTTTTAAATATCCTGCGTCTAAGTAAGCTTACATTCAGAGATACTGGGGGTTAGACTTCAACATAGAAATTTTGGGGAAGATACAATTCAACCCATAACAATTACTAAACAAACATGACTTTAAAATTTTTTTTTTTAGTTGTCAATGGACCTTTATTTTTATTTATTTATATGTGGTTCTAAGAATTGAATCCAGTGCCTCATACATGCTAGGCAAATGCTGTACCATTGTGGTATGACCCCAGACCCAAAGACAACTTTAAAACAAGAATAATATCAGAGAAAAGAATGATGTATCAATGACAAGAAAGCCAATTCACCAAGAAAGAACCCTAAATTATATACATTGAATAGAGCCTCAATATTCATGAAATAAAACCAGGTAGAACTGTAATGAAATACAAACAACTTCTCCCTGTTTGGTTAGTCATTGAGGGAACAGGTAGACAAAAACATCAAGAATAGTGAAGACTAAGAACATTATCAGTCAACTTATCATGTTTAAACCATTGTACCCAACTGTACATATGCATTCCTTTCTAGCACACCTGGAATGTTAGTCAGGTTGACCATATTTTGAACCCTAGAACAAATCTCAGTAAGGTTAAAAGTATCCAAATCTCAGATCCCAATGGAATAAACCAAAAATCAATTACAAAAAAACAACAACCTTGAATATCCCTGGATATTTAGAAATTAACACACTCTATATAAAGCAAGAGCCTACATATGAATTATAAGGGATATTAGAAAATATTTTGTACTAAGTGAAAATAACAATAGCCTATAAAAATCTGAGCATAAAGGAGAACATGAAGGACCCTTTTGGGATCATGGGAATTTTCCATTGTAACCGTTTTGGTATCACACAACTGTGTATATATGGAAAACCCATTGCATTATTTATGCCTAAAAAGAATGAATTTCACAATTACATATAATTGCATATATTATTACAGTGCACCAGTAAAAATAGGGGAAAAAGAATGAATTATGAATTTACTCTATGTTAATTATTCTTTAATAAACCTAATTTCCAAAAATAGAAAAGGACATTCTGCTTTAAAGAGTAACCAATGTAGTTAAGAACAAAAAGAAAGAAAATAAAAGGATGATCTGAAATGTTAATAAGGATATGTAGCTTAGGCACTCTAGAACCATGTAGGAGTACAAATTAGTATAGACACTTTGAAAAACAATCTTCCAGTTTTCTTATAAAATTACATATATACATAGTGTATATTGTTCCAGTTCTCTTAGGTATTTATCAATGATAGTGAAGATATAGATATACATTCACTTTTCAAAAAAATATTTTTTTTAGTTTTTGATGAACCTTTATTTTAATTATTTGTATGTGGTGCTGAGAACTGAACCCAGAGCCTCACACATGCTAGGCAAATACTTTTCCACTGAGCTACAACCCCAATCCCTACTTTCACTTTTAAGTAAATATTAATAGCAGTTTTATTCCAGTTCCACACTGGAAACATTTTTGATGACCTTCAACTGTGAATGAATAAACAGTTTGTACATTCATAGAATGAGATACTTACTACTCAGAAATCAAATGAACTGACTACTAATCACATGCAGCAACACAAAGACAATGCTAAAGTGCTATGCTAAGTAAGCAAAGAGGTTAGGCAAAGAAGTTGTGAGCTTCATACATCATACCACAGATTGTTTTTGTTATATGAAATTAGTGAAAAATGCAAAGCTCTGTGGTGACAGAAAGCAGATTGTTGTTTGCCAGAGGCCAGGACTTGGCAAAGGAATTTGAGGGGACTGTTGATAATGTGTCCTAATTGTGATAGTGGTTAACAAAATATGTATATTCACAACTGTTTAAGCCAGGCATGGTGGTGCATGCCTATAATCCCAGTGGCTCAGGAGGCTGAAGCAGGAGGATTGCGAGTTCAAACCCAGCCTTGGTAACTTAGCGAGGCCCTGTGTCTAAATAAAATATTAAAAAGGTCTGGGAATGTGGCTCAGTGGTTAAGTGTTTCTGGGTTCAATCATTCCCGGTACCCAAAAAGAAAAATAAAAAAACCCTGATCAAATTCCAGTTTTACACCAAGTTTGGTAAATGTAAATGTTACTCTATTAAATTGTATCACAGTCAAGATCATGGAATAATTAAGATCTCTAAACATTTAAAATATCTAAATTATAAAGTGGTTGTTCTATACTCATTTTAATATGTACTGTTAGTATGTTTGACTACTCATATTAAAATTTCCTACCTTTTTAATATTACTGAGCATTAAAAGAGAATAAAATCATGGCATTTGCAGGTAATTGGATAGAGTTGGACAATATTATGCTAAGTGAAGTTAGCCAATCCCCAAAAAACAAAGGTTGAATGTTTTCTCTGATATGTGGATGCTGATCCATAATGGAGATGGGGAGCAGAATGGGAGGAATGGAGGAACTTTAGATGGGGCAAAGGGGAGGAAGGGAAAGGGAGAAGGCATGGGGTAGGAAAGATGGTGGAATGAGATGAACATCATTACCCTAAGTACAAGTATGAAGACACGAATGGTGGGACTCTACTTTGTGTACAATCAGAGACATGAAATATTGTACTCTATATGTGTATTATGAATTGAAATGCTTTCTGCTGTCATGTATAATAAATTAGAGTAAATAAGTAATTTTTTAAAATTTCCTACCTTTTTGATAAAAATGATTAGATTTTTGCTTTATTATCTCATTAATATAATTTTTCTTGGTCGATATAAATATCAAATCTATATTTTAAGGACTATGTATATTAAAGCTTCTATCTCTAACCATTAATAAATCAGAATTCAAATATTTATTTTGTATGTGCATATGGATTTATTAATTAATATTGGTATTGTTCCAAGTAAACTACTAAGCATCTGAGAGAAATGTTAACCAAAGCATTTCTTATGTTATAAGGAGAGAGTATGGGAGT